AAGTTGTAGATTATCTAAGTAGACTCAAACTATTCTTAAGAGCGTCAAAGTAGCGTCAAAATTTTGACAAGGTAAAGTTAAAGGTTCAAAAGAGAAGTTAATGAGTATCAATATCGTCAAACTAGGTTTTTTCTATAAACCATCTAAGTAGGCACAAACTATCCTTAAGAGTGTCAAAATAGCATCAAAATTTCAACTCGGGACGCGTCAACTTAGTAGAGTGCTAGAACTCGCCAACCAGGTTGGCGTTCAGAAGATTAAATTAGAAGATTAAATTAGATCAGTACTGAATAAACAAACTCACGATTTTCGCTAAAAATTCTTCACCGTATTCTGTGAAATAATATGCTCATTAGAAGCGTTGTCAACTCACTCAACAGATTGGTCCCATCAGAGGACTCATGACCATCGCCGTATTGCGACTTCGGCGTCCACAAACGGCCGGATCGCGCGTATCAGAGCGAACCGAGGCGAACTGGAGTGATTGAGTTAAACTGGCGCAATGGATAAATTGCGGCACTTCGGCGCATCGTCTTCTTTTTTCATGTCCTTCATCTTCGCTCTTCGACGATCGTCGATGGGCCCGGGCCGGCGCGGCGTGACGATCGTTGTTACGTTCAATCAGCCTGCGGTTCGCGCCGGCATCATTTCAAAAGCCGCGCTTCGCCACGTGGACGAAACTTCGCGAGGAACAATCGGCGCGAATACCCCCGCCTTGTCTTGAGGTCTCACGTACTACGAGCTTCACCGGGGAACGATAACGACGCGGGTCGTTTAAGTACAGTTACGTACCCGACTTCGTCTAATTGTTTCGACCGAAAAACGGATCGTCATTAAGAGCGACTCTTTCGGGCGGGCCGATCGTCGGCCTCATTACGTCTTCGCCGGAGAACGACTCAATCAAGGGGCGGGGTACTTTCGCAATTTTTCGATCGACATCGACGTCTCAGAGAGATAACGCGTATAATGATGCGTCGTTCTAGCGCGTGCCTTAATTGCATCGCGATTAATAATGCGTGCGCGCATCGTTCGCACGAGCATGAGTTGCGCTCGTGTACAATCATCTCTTCTCTCTGAAGAGATCTCTTTCTCTCTCGCCTCGCGAGATCCTCGCGCATGTAGAATCAGCGTTCATCTCGGCAAGCTTATTTATACGGGCCGGCCTTGAAAACCCGTTAAAACACTAGCCAACGACAAATTACGTAACGATGCACAGTGGGCCGACTTATAGGAAAATAACGTCCACTAGTCGGCACTCTGTCGACTGTTTTCGGCACTCTTGCGCGGATGTTGTCGATTATTAAAGTGGCGATTTTAGAAGAAAACGATTAAATAAATAATAAATATGTAATAATTGATACACATAATTAAGAAATAATTAATAGATTCCCGCACACTTTGTGTGTTATTGGATGGGATGCCGGAAACTAGTAAGCGCTATAAGTGTTACTGGATGTTTTCCCTTATTTGAAGTTAGCAGAAATTAATTTTATGTACTTGTGCGATTTTACTGAAACTACCTCATAATTTATTTTAATCATACTAATAGCAAAATAAAATATAAATGCGAATTAATGAAAATAATGAAATTTATCTATCTATGTAAACGTTTAATTAAAATATCTGAATATATATTCAGAATGACTTTAGAGAGTTTTAATTTCTTTCAAGATTGCAGTGTGAAAAAACAATGTACTTTGTACTTATGCAAACGGTTTGATTAAAAACTAAAATTCTGTTCTTTTTCGCTGAATTAGTATAAACTTATGGAATTAAAAAAGAAACAGGTATATAGTTGAGACCTGGTGGAGAAAGGAGAAGAAAAATATAGTGCAAGTTAGTGCAGGGAATACTTCGAAAAAGTACAGAGTTTAAGTTTTAACTTGACTAAAAAATTAATATATACATATAAAAAACGTACACACAGGCACATTTTCTATTAATTAATCGTACAATACATTTTTTAAACGATTTTAGAAAGATTAGTTATTTTATGCTAGGTTTTAACATTATTTCCGAACTCCACTGCGCGATGTACGAAGGCGCGTGCACCGTCTACACTGAAAGAAGAGATTTAGTAAATATTATCAAAATTTTGTTACTATTACTAAATGGTAGACGTAAATATTTGGCGGGCCAAAGCTATGGCAATATTTATTAATTAATTTAGTTCTGTAAAATAAATTATTTATTTGACAGAAGTAAAATTTATTTGCTTCCAGAATATATTTGGTAAATAAAACTTATTGAATAGTTCAATAAGTAAGCGATTTTGTAGTAGTTACAAAATTTTTGGTAGGTTCAACCAACTATTTGTAATAATAGATATTGAAACGATGTAATAGCTGCAAATGAATGAATTTTTCGTTGTGCTGCAACAAAACATACTTATACTTTTAACAAAAACATACTTATACTTTTAACAAAAACATACTTATACTTTTAACAAAATAGAACTCGTACCTACTGAATTTTTTATTACATAGGATACAACAATTTCATAACAATCATCAAATATCTGTTCATAACTGTAATATATTTCATATTAAATATTTAACATTACGTAACTATTACTAAATTATTTAATTGATGTTACTGTGAATGCAATTACATCATACTCCCGACCTATTAAATATTTGGTAATTGTTATCATATTTAATATTAGTTACTAAGGATTCAATGAATTTCTGTAACTAAATGCAGTTTGTTATAGTTACCAGTCTTTTCTCTCAGTGTATGAATCCGTACACGGAAAAAAATAATTTGCTGCAGCAGCAAACTAATTTGCTACATATGGACAATTAAATATAATTCGATGTTAGCTACTTTTTCTTTGCAGCAGGAACCTATTTTCTTGCTATGATAACAGGAAAGTTTGCTTCTACAACAAGAAGAGTGGCTAGCGTAGCTACAGATGGACAACTAAACATAATTTATTGCTTTAGCTACTTTTTTTGTTTCAGGAGCAAATTTTCTTGTTATCATAGGAAGGAAATTGGCTCCTGCAGCAAAGAAAAAGTGGCTAATACAGCAAATAATGTTAGTTGTCTATATGTAGCAAATCTTTTTTTTCCATGTACGCTCCGTCCGTGTAGCTTAAGATAATTTTCCGACGATGGATCCCGTCGGCCTTTTGTTACTCATTATCGTGAGTAATCGCAAAAATGTGAAAAGGCCTGCGATACCTTTGCCTCGGTAGCCTATAATGTACCCCGGCGATAAGAGGCTATCTCGTGCAGCCTGGTTATGTTAACGCCATGCCGCTCAGCCTTGAGAGGCATTTCAAATATCAGCAAGTCATAACGTGGCTCTTCAATCCACCTGATGAATCTACGCGGTGGCGCTCGTTCGGTTATACGTAGCACCGTGATCTCAACAAATTATCCGCGGCGATACGTAGCGCGCGCCGTGATAAGCTGTCGGGACAAGTTCCGCGCGTATTTCGAGAGAGGAAAAGAGAGAGAGACTTTTACAACGTAGCTGCCGCAGCATCGAGCGCAAATAGCGCCGTTTACAGCGCTTGGATATGTACGCCGCGTTATTAAGGTCATCAGCTGCTGCTGCTGCTGCTTGCTTGGTCAAGTACAGATGATTGACGTAATGCGACGATCATTGTGCGTGAGAGAGCTCGTGGCCGGATTGGGTCGTCTAACGAAGTGGTTTTTACGAAGCGTGCTTCGTCGCTCGTCCGGCGACTCGAAATTACCTACGAGTACATGTCGCCAAATGCGTGCAGAGTCCGTTTAAAATCTCACGAACGTTTGATGTTTCTCTCTTTTTTTTCAAGATAATTATGAGTCCTTTGCTCTTCAAGAGCGCCGTAGGGGCGCCATCCAAAATTTCTTACGGAGCTCGAGAAACGCTGCGCCTCTCGAGTCTTGAAGCTGTACCAGCTGTTGCTGGTTTCAAAATCGATTTAAAATTCGGAAAGCACCTTCGTAATCTTTTTCAAGTTTTGGGAGAGATTTTTGGCAATACCGCTACAGCGTCTTTAGAGCCCGAAAGAAACTCTCGGCCATTGATAAGCAGTCCCATTATCTGCCATGTTCTGTATGTGCTGTGCGACGTAGCTTAATATCCGTGACTAAAGGGATATCCGGCTTGAAAGAGCTAGTCGACAACGTCATGAACGTTTGCAAGATCATTCGTGCATTACTGAAATGGAATGAAATTACGACTTGTCTACGTAACGCGTACTTGCGAGAAGAGAGGCTCGAGGCCTTTGAACGAATTGAGTATTAATGATGTATGCGGTAATCGAATGCCTGCTAATGCGTAACGTCCAGTGGCGGGGAAAATTATGCGGCAGCGGAAAATTTTTATCTCCGGAGTATGATCAAGACGCGCGCGCACGTGAGTATGCATCTCGCGGGAAGTGCTAAACGCGGCAATGATTCGCGCGATATTACGCAACATGCTTCCTTAAGTTACCAAATGCGTTTGCGGTCGCTATTCTCGCCATAAATTTATCACCGAATGGGCAATTTATCGTAATGACGATGTGTCATTTTTCTTATCAGGAAGTAGAGAAAGCTCCGCGAAATTCTTTAATGCTCAATTTTCCTGATTTATATCTCCCACTTGACCATTCATTACGATATCAGAATTATTTCATATACAGTGATAAATGAATTCTGGAAGGGATCTCAATATACTTGGAATGAATCAACGCGAATCCATTTCCGGCATATTATTTGTTAACTGACGAAGAACATCTGAAATAACCATTCTTCAATTGCACTTTATTTCTATTACTATGTAGAGAAAAAAATTGGTTGAAAGAAACGAAATTTCTGCTTATTAGAACCAAATCTGAGTCGTAAGAACACACAGAAATCCTGCGTTTAGATACAGTTTGAAATTATATTAAATTATGATATTTTTACAAGTTGAGCTTCAATAATATATGACCCTATCACGAGATGATCTACACGTTTGTCACCGCAAAAGGCATCGAAATATCGTTGTTAATAATGCGCAATCTTTTTTTATGTTCACAGGCGTGTGCGCCCAGATATACTTGGTTCTCCATGCAACAACCGAAATATGACCCCAACGATAAGACGACCAAGGAATCCACAGTGGGTAATAGAATAGAGCCAGTGGGTACTTGTTGGGTCGCCGTCAACAACTTCAACGACTCGCGCGAGTTCTCTCCTTGCCGTTCGAGTAAGTTTCCTTCGCTACACGAAATCTCTCGCTACGTCTCAGAAGTCTATCGAGTGCGAATTTTGCCTAGAAAATTTCGTAATATTTGTCCAGTGTTTGCTCGACGACAAGTCAGATAAAATTGCGGATGATGCCAAAGTCAATGGAAAAAAAAGAATCGCGAAACTTTTGCACCACGCATTCGATATCCATCAGAAAAATTTATTTCTTGAGATTTGCTGAGAAGCAAATTCTTCTACACGGCAGAAATTACACGATAAGAAGTTTCAAACGAATATTTCCGATTAAATCACGATTAATTTTTGTGTCCGATGAAATTTAATCGAATACTTCCAATCATGATGACATTTCATCAGATAAACCGATCAAAATATCAATAATCGATATTTCTCATCGAATGTTTCTAGATCGGATATAAAAATGCATCGATGTTTAATCAGAAACATTCGTTTGATGACTTTTTATCGGATAATTTTGCTCCGTGTATTGGACGCATCACAAAGCTCATTGAAAATAAAATTTCCTCGCTGACCATCGATCTCTCTTCGACGAGAACATCGTTTCTCGCACTTCAATCTTCAATATCTGCGGTTCAGAGATGGTGTGCGACTTCCACCCGTCCGCGGCCACTGTTAACAAAACGACCGAGACTCCTAACGAAAACGACTTCGCTGCAAAGCAAACGGAACGATCCACCGGCGAATGTTTAATCTCCACTCTCACCGTCCTCCTCGTCGCCGTCGGTATCGAACTCTCGAGGGCGCCGGCACGATTTATAGTGCGCGCGTCGTGTCGTCGCGCCGAATATAGCACGGTTTACAAGAAAGAACGAACGAGAGGATATCTTGAGGATTTTTGTGCGCGTCTGCCTTCGCCGGGCGTTATAAACAGTTGTAAACAGGCAGCGCCGAAGGCATCCTTCGAAGGCGCGAGAGGGTAGCGTGCTTCGTGTCTGAAAGTAAATCCTTCTCGTCCTCTTCCACGAGGATCCTACGGAGACGAAGCTCCTCCGCGACAAGGGGCGACGAGTATCCCGGCCCGACATATGGTCGTGTCTTCGAAGTATAGCGACCATAAATACGCCATGTAACAGAATACTTCCTGCCGACCACGTAGGTTTGCCTCGTGTTTTAATGACAAAGGACATATCGACTTTCGGCACTGCCTCGCCCGCCCCGCGGCGATTTATGGGCATATCGGGCCTAATTAGCGATGATCTCAGTATTTACATCAACGAGCGCGCCGAGTGTAACTTCAGCAACGAAACCACACCTAACGATCCTAAATTATATATTGAGAAGGTGATTTCAAGATGCAACATGAAACAAACTAGGGAGGTTTGAGATAAACATGGAGAGATTGAAGTTCGAACGATTCGAAACAACGGGAATGGAAGGTCGATTAGATCGCGGGTGATTTAAGATGGAAAATTTCCGAATCTAAAAACTAAATGAATTTAAAAACTAAATGATATATATGCACAATTAACTAAAAATTATTAATGCCCCGCGCATCTCAATTTGCACGCCAACTGCCGCGGATTGAGTCTTATTGGTCCTTTCTTGTTACTTATAAGCTAATATCTATAACCTAACAAGTATTTGTTGCTTCCAAATCAGAAAAAGCTTTACTTCCTTTGTAAACAATATTTTGATCCCTGTGAATTCCTGATTTTTTAACCTAAATAACATCCTTTGTTATCACGTTTATCTTTCCTCTCGAGATTAGTTATCAATATTCTCAGACGAATTGTACAGAGTGTTTCATAATTGGTGATTCACAATTGGAATTTCATAATTGGTGAACCGCGCGAAAAGAGGATGTTTTCACGTAAAAGAAAAAGTTAAGAATAAAACTGTTTTCATACTTTGTTTTTGAATTGTTAATATTCGTAATTGTTTTTGTAAGTATTAATATTCGTTAGATACGCGTGCCTTTAAATATGCCTGGTCTCTGACGAGCTGACCTCGCTGTACAGTTTCATCGTCTCACGTTTCCTCTGAAAGAAGGAAACTTCTTTCCAAGACAATTAAGCATTAACTCGCTATGTTTCAAGTTTATTTTTTCACTTGAGTCACTTTCATATTTTATCGTCGGTCTCTCTGAAAATTGCAGTATCTTGACACTACATTTGTTTTACAGACTACTTGCAAAAATCTCATTGGTGAACAATGCAGTTTGCATCGGCGTGGCTTAAGATTCCCGTTTCACGAGCACGCGAAAATAACATCGCGCGTTTGTTTTTAGAATCGCACTTTCCTCCTTACTTATTAAAGTCGCGGTTTCCTCGCGTCGCGCGCGGGCAAGTGTTTCGGCAACCTCCGTGGCGCTTGCCTGCGTGTACTTTACGGCGTACGAACTGACGCACTTCCGGTCGTTTAACAGAGGAGTCGAATATCCGTTCCTCGTACGAACCGAATTTAAGTAGAGTGACTGACAAGGAGAGAAATATGGAACGTATCGATTTCAGTAGGCTTGAGATATATCATGGAGCAACTGAAAATAGGAGACACACGTATCTTTTTGCACGTTTAAGGATCGAAACTCTCGAATTCGACAAAATTGTGCCTAAGCAAATATCTTCGAAATTATGAAGTATAAGAAAAAAAAATATTTTCCAATATTTTAAGATTTTTCAAAAATATCGCGCACGCTTCTCAACTCTTATACAACATTCTTAGCAAACTTCAATGCGAAAATATTTGATATAGGAATAAAGGCCATATGCTTGCTGGTGAATCAACTGTGAATAGTCGACACGTTCACGTAAATGGAGCAAAAAACAAAATAGCGCGCGACAAGACGACACTGCAAACAATTGAAAAGAAAACATTCTCCTTGCGCCGGTGACGTCAGTACGCTGCGCGTGTATGCACTGGCCGCTTTCCAGATAAATATTATCAGAATTCACCGAAGTAGCTGGTCACGAAATCTTCGCGGAACGCGAACGGTACGGAAGCGCGAACGTGCCGACTCGCTCGACGACGTGAGCTCATCGTCCAGAAATTCCGCAACGGCCACGCAATTAAACAATTTGTAGGAGCCGAGTCAAACGTACAAACGACTCGCTGCCGCTTTTCCCGAGAATCGTAGAGACTTTTTAGCGTCGAGTCGTCGGCCGAAGTCAGTCAAACGTCGCTATTTTATCGCGACGGCGAGTCGCCTTTTCCGTCGGTATTAAATGCCCGTCGCTTTTCTCTCGGCTCTCTCTCTCTCTCTCTCTCTCTCTCTCTCTCTCTCTCTCTCTCTCGCTCTCGCTCTCGCTCTCACCCTCGCCCTCGCCTCCCTTTCTATCTCGTTTTCTCTCTCCGCGAGCGTCGACCAGATTCCGAGTGCGAGAGTAACAAGCTCCCAGCATCCGAGAATATCTTCCGCAAATTTATTTATGGGCGTCGCGAGGCGGAACGCCGCGCATTGTGTACCGAAGACGGTCTTACACAACGCGCATAGCTACGTGGCATGTACGACGGCAAACGACGAACTTATTCATGAGCGGATTTAGGGACCCGTGGCGTGGTTGTTGTTTGC